TACCCATATTCATGCAAGCAGTCCTAATTAAACTCAGTAAGTCATACACACACCCACCCACCCACAGACAGACAGACAGACACACACACACTCTCACATTTTCTTTAAAAGGCATTATATTTGAAAGTGAACTTCTTGGGATGAAGGGTTTCAACAGAAAAGCGAGGAGATGAAAGTGGATAATATGGTGGAAATGGCTGGAACACAACATACACGCCTGTGTGAAACTGTCAAATAATAAAGTAATTAAATTAATTCTTTTTTATTTTTATCTATTTATCTTTTGTGTATATTAGTATGAAGGTGTCAGATCCCTTAGAATGGGCATTACAGACAGTTGTGAGCTGCCATGTGGGTACTGGGAATTGAACCCGGGTCCTTTGGAAGAGCAGACAGTGCTCTTAAACACTGAGCCATCTCTCCAGCCCCAAATTAAAATTCTTTAAACTAAAATTTAAAAATCAGGCACAACTTTATAGTCCCAAAATTGGGTAGCTGGAGACTAGGGCTCTGTGGCCAGTTGGCCTAGCCTAATTAGTGAGTTCCAAGAACGTGAGAGACCCTCTCAAAAATCAAGGTAGACTGCATTTAAGGACAATGTCTAAAGATGTCTTCTGGCCTCCTGATTATCCATATACGCGTACCCTCCAACTTATAAACACACACATACACACACACACTCACACAAAGGCAGAAGAGTTCCATCTCAACACCTCTAAGATAAAACTTTTAGCTGGAAAAGGTATTTTTAATATGTATAATTTAATCAAACTAGAAAAACATATATACAGACATAAAAGCAAATAACTTAAATTAATTTTTAAAAAGACATGCCCTTATAAAAGTAAAAACGTACTATGTCTTCTTACATTAGAAGGTTGGTAAGAGTAGAATAGACAAAAAATCAGAATTGACTTAACACAGTTTGGCTGGCTTTTAAAGATCATGAATTTTACATGATTTATGAAGTAAATAAATTTTTAAAATTTTAACCTGAAAGATAAATAATCAAAGTTAGCAATGAATATTGAGCTGGTGGTTGTGAAACCACAAAAATTAAATTACAGATTTCTATTAGTAAATACAACAGAGAAACTTCAAAACCACATCAAGAGGCTACAATTAGTAATACCAAGAATGTGAGTGTTCTATAGTACAGTTCCTAAAAAAAAAAAAAAAAAAAAAAAAAAACAAGAGAGAGAGAGAGAGAGAGGAGAGGAAGCTGCAGACTTTAGACTTTGACACTTTGGGTAGCACAGTGTGTGCTTGGGACGCCCAAGGCCCCGGACTCAATTCCAAGCACCCAAGAGTTACAGGAGACACACAAACAAGCCAATTGCCATGCAGAGGAACTTATTTGGTTCCAATGTGATCAATTAGTTTTTAAAAACCAGGAATACTCAAACACCAATCTGAATAAATTTATAGGTGTGATAATAGTGTTGGGGGGAGGAGTTAAACCAATGTCTGGACCCTATGAGACATACCTGGTCTACGACCCAGGCAATTTTCTGTTCTTGTTCATTTGTCTGCCTGTTCTTAGAACAGAACCCAGGGCACTAAACTGCATTTTATTAGCACTGTCTCACGTGATTGCAAAGATCAACCGCATAGTGTACACCATGGGTATAAAAAGGATAAAAACCCACCTATTATGAATCTAATTACATGCTTCCAACATCACTTTTTTTTTAAACACTTGAACATTTTCTTTATTGTTGTCATCAATTACTAAAACTGACACATAAAAATCTTTAAGAAATAAATGTAGCAGAATCTAGAAGTGTTTACTTGCTAATTACTAATTACAAATTAATTACCTAGCTTCCTAAACTAGGTAATATTTTCTTGGCTTCCTGTACATTTTGAAAAGAAAAAAAAAAAAAAGGACAAAGCAAAGGCATTAACTTATACAAGCACAGAACTATCAGAGCTAGTAACAACCTAGAATCTTTGAACCTAGTAATCAAAAGATTAGTGAGACATCTTCAATAAACCAACTGAAATAAAGGGTTATAAATCTCTAAAGCACAGTTTACTCATGATATCTGAAACACCTCCATTCTGATTCAGCCATCTCTTAGCTCTCATTTTAAAAACTTCCATACCACCCGTCCAGAGAGAATATGGCTAAGAAACAGTTAAGCATGAAAGAATCTATTTCAGTTCTCAATCAACCTAACTCAGACACAAAGTAGAAAAGGCCAATTAACACGTAGTGGGAGAGTCATCACACCAAGTGCCTGTGAGTAGCTACCCATGCAGACGAGCTTTTAAAGCACAGCGATAGATTCTAGAATACTTCTGAGATCAGGGAGAAGACAGCTACTTGCCTCCTGAAATTTAGTGTTATAATTTCAGCTATTATTTTTATGAACCCTACAAATTTAAGCAGATATTAGTAGCTCTTTAAGACTGAAATACAGAACTGGAGGGATGGCTCAGAGGTTAAAACTTTAATGCAGAGTGCTTCTTACTGTGGTAAAAGAATATGTGATGATTAGAGCCAACAACTTAAGGGAAAAGTGATGACCTAAGCAAAGTGGGAACTGGAGTTTTCTGTCTGTGAAAGGCACCAAGTTGAAGCCTGAAGGGAACCCAGAGGATTATTCATTAAACAGGTGGGGATAGTGAATAAGCAGGTTCCATCACACTGACTGAATTAGCAGTCAGACAAGCTACTCACTGTTGCGATTAGACAGGTGGTTTATAAATATTTGCTAAACTAGTATAAGATTATTAGAACTAAGTAAGTAAATACCACGTTCAAGTTGAGCCCAGTTTGACTTCTCCTTGTTTATGAAGACTTTTCTCGGGCTTTGTTTTCCAGCCCATTAATTTGCACAGGAATTCTCTAAAATGGCTTCGTGTTCCTAGTCCTCTCTTCTACCTTTGCTTAGGAAGATAAAAACACAGTGTGCTTTTAACTAGAGTTTAGCAAAATGTAGGCTTTATTTGAGAAGAAATCTTCATTTAGATATTTAACAGGATTGATAAATTCTCTTTAAAAAAAAAGTGCACACTACATCAAAATAAATGTTCTCATTCTCAAACTTGACTCTAATGACACCATATTCCTGAGTAACGTTTCTACTTTTCAGTGTCTTAAGATTTTTTATTTGAATTTCAGGCACTTAAGAATAATTTCTAACAGGCAGCTCTTTTTTATGATGAGGAAAGATTAATAATTAGTGTCCTTAAGAAGTGTATGGCCTCTAATGGCATTACTGCAAAAGTTCTAGAACGTGCCACAGTAAATAAAACTACACAGACACACACTCATACACACAGAGTTCCTTCATAAAGAAGCAATTTACTGTTGTACAGTCACACGTGCTAAAAAGACATTATATGCAGCCTTGTTTATGCACAAATTGAGCCTTCAAAAGTATTTTCATTTAGTTTACATCATTTTATTTTGAAAAGAAGTATTATATATAACTTTTAAAAATGGCTTTCAAGTCATAAAGAGAGAAAAGTATTTAAAGCACAAACGCTAAACTTTTTATGTGATGTGGTGGAATATGCACTACAAATTAAGAAATCTATTTCTAGGCTCAGTTTTGCCTATAACCAACTATACAGCTTCTTGTAAGTTTATTATTATTCTTAAGCTGTGAAGAAAGTAATTTATATTCAACGATGCTAACCTTTGCTTTCTAAGAATCTACCACAATTCAAGCAGTCTCAAATACTGTCATATTGCCCAATTAAACTCCTCTCATTTTCCCACATGAAATCAGACCTTCACTTTTGTCTCAATTTGACCTTAAGAAGAGGCCAACCTAAACCACACATTCAAGAGATACTTCGGAGGAAGAAGAACTGAGGAAAGATTCCTTTCTAAAATGGGATGATGCCGGGCAGGCCGGGAAGTACGAAGGACAGATGTAAGCAGAAGCTGGTTATTCTCAAGTCAAGAGCACTGACAAGGATATACGTGTGCTTCGGTGAGGGAGATGAGTTGCAACAAGGCTTGCAAGAGGTCCTAGAAGAGCCTGTCAGATAATCCACCTTCCATCTTTTAAAATTCCTATTCTCCCAGTAGACACCAAACCTGTCTCCAGTTCCGGGTTTCCAACCAATCATATGAAGCCACAACAGAGGGCTTTGCCAGCCTGTTTCGAGGATCCAGAAAGAGATTCTCTCAACCCCAGAACCTATAGACTTCACACCCTTCCCAGAATGGGAGAAAACATTAAAGGTATCCTGGGCCCCAAGCAGGTCCTCACGTCCACAAAACTGAAACGAACTCCAGGGGCCTCGGCGTGACCTCCCACGTACCACTCCCCCAGGGGGAATTGTCCTATTTGCAGGTCCCAAGACCAGACAGTGGTTTCCCAGGCCTCGTGGATCGCGGGCGTAAGAAGCCAAAAGAACCGGAGAAAGTGAAGGCAGCGCCAGGGGGTGCAAGCCTCGCCAGTGTGTGCACGCCTCGCTAGCAGAGGAGAGTCGAGGCAAGCAGGGGCAGCACTGTTCCCCCTCGCGGAGGGCGGGAGGCGGTCAGGGATACGGTCGGAGGGTTTGTCATCCCCACATACACTCACCAAAAGCAGCAAAGAGCATCTGAGGTCTGGTAAAGATAAGAAGACGGCAGGATTCATGGTAACGACAAGGGTCCACGGCGGGGTGAGGAGGTGGCGGCTGGAACTAGACCGGGTTAGAAAAGGGCTGGGCTCCGGGGCCGGCAGCAGCGGCACCTCGTCCTCTCGACCCGGAGCTCCAGCGGCGAACACCCGGGACAACTTCCAGAGAGGCCTCTCACGCCCTCACTTCCGGGTCCTGCCCACCTCCAAGCACCTCGGGAAATGTAGTCCCATACGGCTCTCACTGACCATGCCACGGAGAGCTGGAACTCTCTTTCCCAGTAGGCCCTGGGCCCGGGACGACCGAGCCAGCTGCGCGCGGGGCTCTTCGGGATTGGAAGGGGCAGCGTACGGCTGCGCCTCTGGGAGATGGGAACTACAATTCCCAGAGTGCTGTGCGGCCGAGTGCCTCAGGCCACCTCTTCTGAGCTCGCGGGCTCTGTTGTCGTGGGGTCTTGTCCCAGCAGGCGCAGTTGCCTGGCTTGGCAGGAGGGGCGGCCCCTTGGGGTTCGTGCCTCCTGGGGCCGCCCCCAGACGCCAGTCCTGGAGGCAAGGGTGAGTAGAAAACGGTCCAGCACGGGCGGCTCGGCTACGACGGCGAGCATCGCCCCGGCCGCTGCTGCAGATTCTTGGCCCGCCTGCTCTGAGGTGTGGCCTGAGCCTCCATCCCTGGCCTCCACGCTGCTGCCCCTTCTTTCTGCGCTACTTCCTCCGTTATATAAGGAGAACCACCACTGGGGCTTCAATGACTTAGCCTGGGCTGCTTCTGAGGGTCCGTGCAAAGAAGAAAGAAGGGATGGGAAAGCATGTTGTAAACCGTAAAGAGCAGTGCCTAAGTGACAGTGACCACTTCTTGCAAAACAGTTAGGAATTAATCAAGTAGTAAAAGATTTTAACCTGGTGACCGTTAGCTTTCCAGAATTTTCTGTGAACACCCAGCCAGGTCCATGTGCCTGGAAAGTTAGCCATATCATCACTACCTAGCACACAGGAGGCATTCTGCATTTGTGGTTCTCTTTACTCCTAGTCTTTGCTTCAGTTTTCCTGCTGCCTGAGGTGGCCTAACTTTCTCTTTCTGGAGTGCCATCTCAAGTGACACCATGTCTGACATTTGAGTCTCCTGACACCTGTCACAGCCACCAACCCTTTCATCCTACCCTTTTTCTTTTTTTGTGTGTGTAAGCTCAGCACCACTACTTTTGCATAGTAATAATTAGAACGTTTAATTGCACAGACTTATAATTATTTAATGATGATGGTATATATACATTTTATAGCACTAACAAAGTGGCTTTGATTCCTTTCTATAAAAAAAAAATATTTATTGGGAGCAGCAATGACAATAGCATTTCTGTTAAAAAGAACCCTAGAGGAATGGCTTTCCCAGGATGACAAAATTAAAGTGTAATGGAGCCAAGACTCTTCAGTCTACTACTTCCTAATGCAGTGGTCTTATCAGTATACTGCTCATCTCATTCTCTGACAAAACCCAAGTTTAGTTAGGAAATGGCTGTGGTGGTACATGCCTGTGCTCCCAGCACTTGGGAGGCTGAGACAGAAGGATCAGGAGTTGAAGGCCATCCTGGGCTACATAAAAACTCCCCACCCAGCCTAGTCTTTACATTTTAAGACCCTGTCTTGGAAGAAGAAAGTGAGGGGGGAAAACTCATAATTCTCTGAAGTTAAGCCTTGACCTGACTTACCCTTGGACTTAGTACTCACCCTGTGACATTTCATTCAATAAACATTCACTTGGCACCAGCTGTATACCTATTACTGGGCTGCTAAAATTAAGATTAAGTATATATAACTAGTATAGAGATAGATATAACTATTTTAATAGTTTGAAAGTATTCAAATAAGTTTTGTTTTGTGGCCTGGCATGCCTAAAACTCTGTTCACTTTGGATCCAAAATGATGTTTTAGAATTCAGAACAATGCCTAGAATAGTTGGCACTCCACTTGTTAAATAAAGGACATCGTCAAACCTTTTAATTTTTCATATTTACTAAAATCTAAAGAGTTGATGTAGTCTAAAGACACACTGCTGTCATTAATGCAACTGGACCAGGAACTCAGATGTAGTCTCCTACTATGTTTTACCGTAATTCTTGTTTTGTAGTTTCTCTCAAGTGATGTTGATACAGTCCTACATATGACACTCTTTGTTCTAATATGACAGACATGCTCAGACACAACAGAAGTGTCTCACAACGCCATCCATGTTTTATGCCAGCATATTAACTCACATTGTCAGAAAATTAAAGAAATGGAAAGCTAAGTTTTACTATAATTTAATATTTTCTAAATTAGAACAATTCAATAATCCTTGTTAGTTGTGAAAGAGCTATGTCAGAAACATAGGCAGGCCTTTTTGTCTTTCTACAATGTCATATTTTAGTGAACCACAATAAACTCACAAGGTATAATGGTTATAATGGTAGCCTTTTGGTAGATAATCACACCTGCTTTGGTAATCTGGCCAAGGCAACTGCTGATTATTTTTATTCCAATCTCAATTACTAGTAGTACTCACATATCAAATGGCATACAATAAATATGCACAGATGTAGTTTATAGAATGACTACAACTTAAAGAAGTATGACAAAGTGTAAGAGATTTAAGAAATGGGCTGATAAAAAAATTCAAGTAGAGTCTGTCTTTATCAGTAACAAACCAAAACAGCCACAGAAAGCAAGCTGTTGCTCTTCATATCAGACCACATGAGAGTCAGGGTGTAGCTAAAAGATATAGTCAGCTGCAAAGACAAGAGGGGTAGAATCAGATTAGAACAAGTACAGTGAGTTCAGGTCCAGACAGGTAAGGAGGTGGATTGGCAGATAGCAGGCAAGTAGGTCAAGTCAGCAACCAGGGACCCAGCAGAGCTGAGGCTCCAAGAAGAGTTGAGAACTCTATCTGCCAGTCTTTGACATACACACTAGGTCTCAGAAGATAGGTTAGTGGGGCCACTGTTACTACATTGCTAGGTGTCTTCCACTTCATGGAGTCCAGGTGAGGAGGTTAGAGTCCATCCTTGGTTTGGTGTGTCCAATAAGTCCTTGGGGCTGGCTTCTTTGGTATGATCTCCATATGCTCACATGCTTCCATGGTCTCATGGAAAAGTTTATAGCATGGCACCCTGTTTGCTCTCAGGAGTAAGTCACTTGCCAGTCTGCATGGGAGGTACTGGGCAGGAATGAGCACTTCCACGAGGAGCACCATCACTCTCTATCCTCAAAATAGTTTAAAAGCTGTCAATAAAGCGGAGTCTCTCCAGGCAAAGCACGGGCTGAAAAACCACTATTTTCCACAATATGGAGTAACTTAAACAAGGCACCGTCTGACCGCAACAGGTATTCTGTAGAATCACATCACCTGTATTATTAATCTTAGGAGTCTTGCGACGTTTAATCTCTGTGCCTACTGTGAATGTCTTCTCATTCCTTGAGAAAGATCTCTACCCAATTCTCTTATTCTTCTGTTAAGCGAGTTGTACAAAGGCCATCTGCTTTTCCATGTCAGAGCAGTTGTAGGAGTGAGTTTTAAAGTCCTATTTAAATATCAGTAATAAATCCTGTTTATAAGACAGGTTTTAGCACTGATTAGAAAGGTTTTAGAAGTATTTTCTGCTTGTACTCACTGTCTCAATCGTTGTTTCAGGTCACTCAGGTTGTGGAGAAAACTATGAACATATCAGAGAATGTGCTCTCTACTGGGCCCTCATTAGCATCTCAGGTTCATGCTGCTGCAGTTAATGGAGATAAAGGTGCCCTCCAGAGACTCATCGTTGGTAAGCAGTGCCCTGTAAACTTAGATGCTGTACTTGGCTGGGGATATGGTTTATTCAGTAAAGCATCTGCCACACAAGCATGAGGACCTGAGTTGGGATCCCTAGCACCATGCAAAAGCCAGTGTGGTACATCTGTAATAGCAGATGGGAGGATCTGCAGTGCTCATGCCTGGTCAGCCTGGCTGGGTTGATGAGATCATGGCTCAGTGCCTGTGATATAGCTCAGCAAGTAAAGGCACTTGCTGCCAAGCCTGACTGCTTGAATTGGATTCATGAGACCCACCTGGTGGACGGAAGGAGGGAAACAACTCATGCAAGTTCTCTGACTGCCACATGGGCACCATGGCATACGTACACTCTCTCTCTCTCTCTCCCTTTCTCTCTCTCTCTCTCTCTCTCTCACAAAATGAAGACATGAATGTAATTTTTAAGGAAGAAGGTAGAGAACAGTTGAAGATGACACCCAGCACTGACTTCTGGCTTCCATACACACATGGGTACATACACAAATACAAAAGGAATACTAACTAATAAAAACAACTCTGGCCTAAGAGAGTTTATTGATCATTTAAATTTGCAATATACATAAACATTTTAAAGAAAATATAATTGTAGTTATATTTTATTCCAGTACTTGGACAAGAAAGAAATTAAATACTAAAGGTTCAGATAATGGATTAGGATGAGGTGAAGATTACTTGATAAATTAACTATCCAATATACTCAAAGAATTAAGTTTTTAAATAACTTTGGATGATTTAAAATTATTCATTGTGCTTCTCTGTAATTTATATTAATTTATGAATAAAAGTCCAGTGTGAGAGAACAAAATGAGTATTGTAGAAAATTAAAGCTAAAATGGCTAAAAACTTTCCAGAATTGTCAAAACCCCCAACCCACATAGTCATAAGTCTCAAAAGAGAACAAATAAAATTAAAATAAATATTTTTATTTGTAATGTTTGTACATGCTTGTATTTGAGATGTTATGATTGATTACTTGGGCAATAAATTAAAAAAATGCAAAGCGTCATACTTCTTCTTTAGAACCTTTTCATCTTATATTCCATTTTTCCATGACCTCCTACCTGTGAACTCTAACCTCTTGTAAGCCTCAAGAATATTTTCTGGTCTTTGGTACTTCTCACTATACTTTCTATTCTTTCGCTGCCATCCCTCCCCACCCCATACCATTTTGCTTTGTTCTCTACTAAAACTCAAATTTTGTATACACTACAAATATTTCTCTCCCTCTATCGGACATTATCCGCATTTCATCTGAGCTGCCTGCATCCACAGTTCCTCTTGGAACTTGATATCTGGGACCTCTCATCACCCATTTGAATGCTATCATTGAACAAAATCACTTCCAGCTCACTTAGTAATGAAAAACAGTAGTTTCTCCTCTTCCCTGAGCCTTCAACCCATTATCTTCCCTAGCTTTTAACCATAAGTTTCTCTCTTTATCTCTCCCTATTCAGTCTTGATTACATGGTCTATGATTCTAACTTTCCCCTGGGAAAATTCACTTTGTTGCTCCCATTTTGTTTCACCTGGCTATCATACTTCCAAATCTGGGTGGACCTGATTTATGTACCCTTGGCACCTACAGAGCACTCAGACATAACCTGAAGATTTATAATATGCCTATTCATGATCCTGCTTCAAATAATCTCTCTACTTAACTCTATCATACCACAATTCTCTGTTGTCTGCTGAAACCTCAGCTCCCGATTTCTCCTCCTCCTCTTCTCAGATAATACTAGAGAAAATGGGGCCATTAAATAGGAACTTCCTCATCGTGTACAACAATATCTAAAAATACAGGAAAGTATATGCCTCTTATCTTGAGACAGATAGAAAGAAACACATATAACTTATATGAACAACTTAACAAAAAACTATAAAGCAGCTGGAGAGATGGCTCAGGTTAAGAGCACTTAACTGTTCTTCCAGAGGACCTGAGTTCAATTCCCAGGAACCACAGGCTCACAACTATCTATAATGAGATCTGGTGCCCTCTTCTGTTGTGCAGGTATACATGCAGACAGAATATTGTATACATGATAAGTAAATCTAAGAAATAAAATTAAATATAAAAAGAACTATAAAGCAAAATATCTGTAACCTCTATCTAAATTAAAGAACAGAGCACTCAGTACCCTAAGAGTCATTTATTATCTTGACTGTGTTTGTTTGAAACAACATTTCATTTAGCCCAGGCTGACCTCAGCTCCCATGTAGCTGAGCATGACATTGAGCTCCTGATCCTCTACCTTCTCCAGGCTGTGAGTTAAGCCTGCTCTTGTAGTGTTTCCTTTGTTCTTTATTTTCTTATTTTCTTTTTCTGAGAGTCAAGTCCAGGATTTTGCACATATGAATACGTTATGCTCCTACACCTATCGTGACTTTATAATAATCATGCTGTTGTTTTGCCATGTTTGAATTTTCACTGAATATTTCAGCTCTGCTTGAGCTGGGGAAAAAAAAGTCTGTGTGCTTACCCTCTCCCCTGGTTTATAAACTCTTTAATTTCTTGTCATTGTGCTTGGAACAACATTTAAAAGATCACTTGTACCTCTTTGCCCCTCCAGGCTCACCTTGCACATTTGTTTCCTGGGAAAACTTGTTTCCTTTCAGTTTCTCAATTCTGCCAAGCTCTTTGCCATCTCAGGGCTCTTACCAGCTATTGTCTGCCTGCCTAACTTTCAATCACCTTCATGCGCTGTACCATACAGCTACTTCTTCAAAGAGAACTGCTCCAGCAAGCCAATCTCACTTTACTCTCCTCATTGCATTCTCTCCTGGCACTCCATAGGCTTCCTTTACAGAGTATATAACTGTATTTGTGTGAATGACTATTTGAACGTCTTTCCCTTCCACATAATATAGTAACTTCTGCCAGAGTAGACTCTTTAATTCATTACCATGTCTAGCACAGTACTTGACACATAGTAAGCATGTGAGAAATATTTGTTGCAGAAATGAGTAAATATTGTAATGTATGTAATTATCTTTCCTCCCCAGTAGTCTGTGATTACCTTGAGGACCAGGACTACAAGTGAATTGAGTTGAATTGAATTGAGAGACAGACTGAGACAAAATTCCCTAGGGAGGCAGTTTTTTAATCAGAGTGCCACAAGAAAAAAAGAACCATATAAAATGAGGTCTTCATTATTTTAATGAAAACTACAATCTTCTAAAAAGACAAAATGTGGGATGTGTTGTAAAGTAAAAGCACACAAGCCCATTCATATAAATTAACTAAAATGTTTCATTGTAAAACTTGAAATGTTTCTATAGTTTAATATACCCAAAAGAAAATTCTTAAATTTTAATTTAAAGTTAATTTAAATTCTTAAATTAAAAAGGGTAACATGTGACAGGAATAGAGCTACTATGTTTATTGACTGACCCCTGTATTTTCTATCACCTTGGCCAAGGAACTCCTGACTAATTACTGCATGAGGAATGCTGCTAGTCTTGTAGACATTGTGCCATTGTGTTTGCTGTGCATAAAGCCACACCTTTATTCTGTGGCATTCCCCAACTTGTGTGTGTTCATGCTAAAATATCTGTTCTGTTTCATCTTAAATTTCTGTCTATTTTAAACATTACATACCACATGTTTCATAAACAACACTAAATATATGCTATATCTCTTTCCTAAACTAATGTCATAGTACTACTGATGAATTATTTTTCTTGGATCTTTGTTCACCAACTGCTCAGTGACTTCATTCACTTTAGCATTTTCTGTTTTCCCATCTCTGTTTCCATGGAGAAGAATGCCAATGATGCGTTTGAATCCATGGAAACGGATGACTGTCTCTTTCTACTTACACAACTAATTAAATCGAACACTTTCTGAGCTGCCCATTGTCCTGGAGGCAGACTGAAGAGGCCGTCTCTGAATGAAACGTGTTTTTAGTAGCAGTCCTCGCTACTAACCACAATGCTGGCATGGATGCTTTAGCATTCTCCACTTTCTAGATTACCCGCTGACCCATCTCACTGGCCCAGCTAAAGCTTTTATTATACTGTCGACCTTCCAAGCAAGCATAATTTCTCTGAATCATTTCCCCATGTAGCATCTCTGAAGAATTTAGATATGAAGTGATCTGTGTAAGTGGGAGAGTCCGGGTACTATTTCAAGTATTTTTTTCCTTTACCTTAAATATTAAATTTAGTATTTTATAAAATATAAAATGGTTGTAAAATAAAATATTTAACAATTTATATTTTATAAATCTGATTATTAAAGTACAGTTGGCCCTCTGTGCCCTGAGTTATACAGGCACAGATTCAACTAACCAAAGACTGGAGATATTTGGGGGGAAAAACTTGTCTATACTGGATAAATACAGACTTTTTATTGTCTTTTTTTTCTAGACAGTATTCTAAAATGACTGTAACTTTTACATTGCATTAGGTATTATAAGTAATGTAGAGATAATTTAAGATATATGAAAGAACACATGTAGGTCCTATGTCAATACTATGTGTTTTTAGTATAAAGGACTTGAGCATCTACAGATGTTAGTAGCAGGAGATCCCAGAACCAGTCACTCCTGGACACCAAAGAAAGACCATGTACATAATTATACCTGCTAGTATTAGTAATAAAATTAGCTCACCTTCAAAAAGTCATGTTTTATGTATCACTTACTATACTATGTATTTTGCAGCTCATTAACATATTTAACAATACATTTAAAGAGTTTTGGGTACTCATATTAGTTATTTTGTAGGTGAGGAAATTGAGAAGTTAAATAATTTGTCCTATATGTAGCAAAACTGAGAATGCAACTAGTAGGTATGATTCCAGAATGCATACTTCTATCTAGTAACCATGGGACTTCACCATATGGGTACATGTTTCTGTACTCACGTGTACTTCCATACTTAAATGTAGGGAATAAGAAAGAGCTCAGTAGCCTTGGGCCTCAGCTGATGAACTGATTGGTTACCTAGACTAAATTAGTCTTGACATTGTGTTTG